AGAAGGGCTATCTTGAAGTTCCCTATGATCAGTTGAGGGTCCATATCTCAGGTTTCTCCACATCACAGGAGCTGTCTCTAGTGTCTGCATACTCTTCAGGGACTACCCTGATGTCTTCATGATTGTCAGGGCGCTATCTCAGCTTTCCGTGACCTAGGGAAGAGTTAGCTCAAGGTATCCCTGATCAGAAAAGGAATAATAATAATAATAATAATAATTATTATTATTATTATTATTATTATTATTTTGGAGACAGGATCACACTCTGTTGTTCGGGCTAGAGTGCAGTGTCACAGTCACAGCACACTGCAGCCTTGACCTCCTGGGCTCAAGAGATCTCTCCTGCCTCAGCGTCTTAAGTAACTGAGACCGCGGGCATGCACCACCATGCCTGGCTAATTTTTAAATTTTTTGTAGAGATGGGGGGTCTCGCTGTGTTGCCTAGGCTGGTCTTGAACTCCTGGCCTCAAGCAATCCTCCCGCCTCGGCCTCCCAAAGTGCTGGTATTACAGGCATGAGCCACCACGCCCAGCCAAAGAAGGAATTATATTGGAATTTCTTGATTTCATTGAGTTTAACCTAGGGTCCCATCCTCCAAGGTCTATCTCAGGGATCTTTTGCCAGTGGAGAGTCTTGTCTCAGCAATCACTGTGACTTGTGGGGAAGGGCTTGCCCAGGTCCACAGTTAGCAGAGGGGCTATCTCTGGGTTCTCCATTGATAATGAGGGCTACTTCAGGGACCTCTGTGGCCATCAGAGGGGCTGTCTCAAGGTTCTCTCAGACTGGGAGGAAGGTCTATCTCAGGAATGTTTACGTAGAGCAGAGAGGCTGTATCTTCGGTCTTCTCATGTATTGGAAGCCATGTCAAAGGCATACTCACGTTAAGGGCAATATCTCAGCAGTCTATTCTGTCACTACTAGAGGGAACATTTCAGGACGCCCACGACAAACATACGTACCGTTTCCGGGCTTACCCTTATCTTGGAAGCTATGTCGGGGTCTGCCTCCCTAAAGGGTTCAGCTCAGGGGCCTATGCCTAGTGGAGGGGCCATCTCAGAGAACTTTAGGTCTGGAGTCCTAGGGTTTTTCCATAAAGGGCCAGATAGTAAATGTTTCAGGCTTTGCTGGCCACATATGGCCCCGTTGCAACTCTTTTGACTCTGCTGCATGGGAGCAGCTATAATGATATGCAAATACATGAATGTGGCTTTGTACCAATAAAACTTTATTTACAAAAATAAATGTGGCCAGCCGGGTGCAGTGGCTCACGCCTGTAATCCTAGCACTTTGAGAGGCTGAGGCGGGAGGATCACTTGAGTTTAGGAGTTTGAGACCAGCCTGGGCAACATGG